GATTTGATTTATGTAACAGCTCAAAGGCTTATCAGTTAGATTTTACTCTCCATGAAAAATCTTGAAGCACTCAATGTGGAGTGGTACGTCACACTTCTCACATCCATACACAGTGCGGTTGTAGCATCGTCTGCATCTTTGGTAACGCTTTCCTGTGTTTACAGGCCAGTGATGTTTCCCATCACCTCTTGTGGAATCCTGAGGTTTCACAGTTGCAGATCTTCTGCCTTGCTCAAGAGGCTGTTTACCATATCTCTTGAGGAGATCCATGGACAAAACCCGCTGAAAGGTCAGGAGGTCATAATCACTGCCAACAACATCTCTGAAGAACAGCCAACTATTCACCACTGCACTGTGAAGGGACCAGGCCAGGATTGGCCACCACCACTTCTTTGACCTTATTGCAGATCTATATCTTGACACATGAAGATCATGCAGATCCACGCCACCATGTTTTTGTTATATGTAAAGAAACACAGAGGTTGTGGCACTTTGACAACTGCTTTTTTCTCTTTGCTCCACCTGGATGCTTGACCCTCTGAATATCTTTCTACAGCATTGGTTGCCATGGTTACAACACTGTTATCCTTCCATCGCACCAGTAACTTCTCCACCTCTGTAAGGACCTCCGTGCTTCCACGAGGCATTTTTTCAAAATCTTTCACACCTGTGAAAGGGATGTCATGTAGATGGCACTGTCTCAGTGTGCCAAGGGACCCATAACCCCGTTTGGTCATTTCATCAATGAGGCTAAGTGAGGTGAAAAGGTTATCATACACAAATGTGCATCCTGGAGGGACTTCTGCTTGTTCAGCCAGACCAAGGACTACACTTGGGCCCTGTCCTAAGCCAGTGTCAGGCAGATATGTGTGGACTCCACAATAGGGCTCCATGTGAAACATGTACCCTGTGGGTGAAGCAAGGCTCCACAACTTGTATCCAAACCGGATTGGTTTGCCCCTGATGAACTGCTTGCAGCCATGCCTGCCATAATAGGGTATCATGCTTTCATTAATTGACAGCTGTTTTGTGTATGGCATCATCTTGTAGGTGTCATTCATTGCACTGAAGATGGGCCACACTTTTTTAGAAAGGGTCGTCTGTGGCCTTTGAGTTATCCACCAGATGAATTGAAGCCATTATCTCGTCAAAGCGGTTCCTTCTTATTGCATTTGAGATGGCTTCATTGTAGACATCAGGGTCATGTGACCAATACATGTGCCTCCGTGGTACTGAACTGTAGCCAGATGCGAGCAGAACCCCATAAAAACTCAGCAACTCATCCATGCTCAGATCAAGTGCCTTCCCTTTGGTTTGCATTGAGTAGAGGTTTGACATCTCAACAGTGAGCTCCCTCAGAGTAGGAGGATACATCAAAAGGAACAAATCAACAGGGTCAGGTTTAGTTTGTTTTATGCAATCTGCTGCAGTTGGACCATAGGTTACAAAATCTTGTATACCGGATGTGGCTGGGCATCGTGATCTTTTAAAAATCCTGTCCCTATTTTGCGTTTTTTTCTGGGTTTTTTGGCTGTGGGGTTTCATTTTCTTCAGGACATCGTCTTTTTCTGGTTTGTGTTCTGGGTTTCTGGCTGGACACTGTGGGAGATTAACCAACTAGCGGCAATGGGTTTTCTTCAACACCAAATGCTGCCGGAATGAGAGATGAAGGAGTGGGGGACTTATCAGGTTAAAATCTTTCTCATCCTTCAGATAGGTCACCTCTGCTTCACCATTCAGCAGTCTAGCAGGCAAATGGCCTGTTTCGCCTTGGTACTCTCTATCTGAGCAGTCACTATCACAGTCACTTTCAATTGCATCTCTTTCAACTGTAGGAATGACTGTTATGTAGCACACATCACTTTGGGGTTCTTTTAAGTCAAGAAGTTCCAAAACCTGTGTATAGCTGTGTATAGAAAAACATAAGAAAAATAGAATAAACAGCTAAAACTTTTGACACCTAGCATAACGCTATGACTATGTGTTATGCTAGCGGCAGCAAATGTTGCCGTGGTTACATTTACTCTTTTTATGATCAAAAGATTTATGCAGGCTTATAATTCTCATTATATATCAGTAGTAGACCCTTTAAATAATATATGTACAAAATATTTCACTTATATCTGTTAATTAAGGTATTTTACTTACTTCCTCTTGTACAAGTTTGAGGCAGACATTTCCCGCCAGCGGTGCAAGCAGGAAGTAAAAAGGCCTGGTCATGTGACCACTCCCACTAGTTACATGACATTGATACAAATTAGAGGAGACAACATATTCTTTTATTTAAAAACTTGCATTAGCTGCCAAAACCAAAACAGCACTTTTAGAGCTTCCAGAAGGAAAAAAAAAAAAAAAAAAGAGCGGCAACAATTGTTGTTGGTGGGATTAAACGGGTTCCAAAGTTGTTCAGGGTTGTATATACTTTTAATCAACATTTAAAATGAAGTGCCGTACCGGACTGGGTATGGCAGATACCCAGTATTAAAGGGTCAAAACAACTATTATTGGAACATCCCTGGTAATTCTAACACAAAACACTGTCATAATACAGAAATAGACATACCTCACAAAACTAGAATTTACAAGACAAGTGGTTAAACTCAAGCAGCAGTTCCCATTAGAACTGAATGGGAACTTTGGCACTTTGGTCTCATTTCAAACCTACTTCCACCCTCATTCTTACCCCTATCGCCTCTGACCTTAGTTATTCAAGCTAGAGATAAATCATAAAACACAGCCGGCAGTCTGTGTTTTAGGATTTACTGTATTTTCTTCTCTTTCTGTATCCGTTTTTGCTACTTCCCAACTTGCCTCTTTCTCTTTCTTGGCCCCAACCTCCATGTGAACCCCACCCTCTGTCATCACAGGGCCCATAAAATGCACTGCCAGCCCGTCGGTCAAGCTACAGGGTAATTAACTCTTTGACGGAACATCTGTCCTTGCTGACCATATGTTATACAGCCCACACTCTGGCTAATGTTCAACTTCAACTCTCATCGTTACAAACAAATCATCAGAACCCTGCGTTGGGAGCTAGTGTTCTAACCCTGTGCTTACCCCACCCACAGCCCCACCACTATTTATTTCACTTGTCACATGCAAATGTCTGCTTATCTTGTTGAAATGAGCAGCAGTCAGGGTCTGAGGGGTCATGGCCAACAAACACACACACACACACACACACACACACACACACACACACACACACACACACACACACACACACACACACACACACACACACACACACCACAGGCGACAGAGGGGTTGTGTGTTCACAGCACTGATTTATGTGAATGCGACCATAAAGAGATGCAGCATGGCGCTACAAAGGATTTCCCCCAGTGCTCTCCAACATTTCTGTGTGTGTACACTCAAATGTGTGTGTTGCAGTGAGTCAGCGTGTGTGCTCTTTTCTCTAAATGAGAACCAGCTCTGGAGAGCTCTCTGGCTCAGTGGGGTTGGCTGGGCCTGTAAGGTTCAACCACACGGTGAAAGAAAATAAGAATCATGTTGCTATCTGACTCGCAGCCTCCATTCACTTGTCACAATCGGTACTGTGAATCAACGCTCATGATTTCACTCACTTCTCTATTTGCTAGTAGATGCATGTGTCTTGGCATGCACAAACCCCATCGAAAACTCCTGCTGCAACTCCAAACGACTGTTACAAGGTAAATATGGCTTGTGTCATACAGATGAAAGGTTTCTATCTGACAGCAGCTACACACGTTCAGTGGGGAGCCTGTTTGAAACAAGAATCAAGGCCTTCCTCGTCCCGCTCCTCCCCCACGTGATTGAGTCTGAGGGCTGTTGAGTTGCATCAGTGCAGATGATACAAGGAGTGGGGAATGCATCTCCCTGACTAACCATGTAGTCTGCAGGTCTAAAGGGACAGTGGGCTGGGAATAGGAGTGGCAGTGATGTACTATGTGAGGAGAAGGACACTGCCAGGGTTCGTGTAGCCTGATTTTGAGCACAAACTGAAATATCTCAACAAGGGATGGAATGATAAATGGTATATTGTGGTGAATTTTCGTTATCGGGATAATCGTGAAATCTTCACAAGGCTTGACTTGAAAAAGCTGTCTAGCTACCCAGCAAACAGTCATATATATACACATATATATATATACACACACACACACACATATACACACACAGTCCGCATCTTTCCGGTTATTCCTGGTGTATCCCCCATAAAAAAAAATTAAACGGGATGTGTAGAAATAGTATAGATTCCAACATTAAGCACAGGGACATGAGGTGTCTATCTGTGATTCAATAAATGTGTTTCTTAACAAAATGTAAAGTAAAGAAAAAAAAAGACTTCCTGGCCAACTTAACTCTGTCACAGTTCTTTAAAAAACGAATTAATCTTTGACGAAAAGGTCATTATTGGCCTCAAAAATCCAATATTTCATGTGTAATAACTTGTAAAAATTCAACCCTAGGAAGTGTGATATTTCAACACAACTACACCGATCTGACAGCTACACTGTTCCAACACGCTGTAGTTACAAGTTGGCTTTCCAACAGAGGCCAAAACTGTCACAGCTAGATGTCCTTTCACACTGAGTCTGGATCAAGATCGATTCAGTATTCTGGCTCAAGTTGAATCTGTCAGCACTAACACCATGCACTGGAGAAACATGCATAGCACGTGAAAGACGACCTACAGCAAAGTCTGATTCATGAACTGCACTTGGTGTGCACATGAAAACACACAGTTTCCTCAGCACATTAGGTAAACATATCAGATGTCTTAACTCATTGAGAACACTAACATTCATCCCTGGATCAATTCACAAATATATTCTGTGTCAAACTGGAAAACCTTCACAAAGAGTAATATTGGAGTAAACTGATATTTCTTTTGATATACAGAACAAAGCCTGCAGAAGCCGTCCCATTATATTAAAAATGGCTGACAGTACGATATTCCGGCTCTAATGCAAGCCTAATCATTTCAACTTTGGTTCCAAACTTCTACATCAAACCTTTCCATGTCGGAGAGTTCTTGAAACGGAGCCAGTGGGAGATTTCCAAACATCAAAGTGGAGCTGGAGAATTTTTTCTTTTTTTCCCCTGCAACCGAAATAACAGAGCTTTTCACAGGAAGAAATCTATATGTGCAGGCTTGTAAGATTCAAGATTCAAGAACTTTATTTGCCATTTGTGCTTGCACACATAGGAACTCTTGTGCGGTTGTTGCTCAGAGAGTCAAGTTTAAAAAGACACACAAGGAAGACATAATCTACAAGGAAGACATAAATCTATCTATAAAACATATACATTATAAATTGCACAAAACCCGTTAAAAGTGTAGATTTGCATAAATAAATAAATAAAGATATATAAAATAAATAAACAGTCTGCTATGTGAGACGCTTCATCCAGCAGAATTATCTTAATTACCCTATCAAAGCAAAAGATCAGAGATATTTTAGCTGTAACGATGTGATGAAAGACTACTACTGTATTAGCCCTATACTCTACAAACACCTGAAGACATTTCCCAGTTGTGATCAGCTGATGCAAAATCATTTCTTATGCTAATAATTCAGAACAGACTGCAGTATGCATCAATATATTTGCCTTTACCTTGTTTGTATTGTTGTCATATTGTTAGATGGATAATCAACGGTAGTGTCTCTTAGGGCTTTTTCATTGGCACTTTTTCCCATCAAACGGACCATCTCTGGAGCTGTGCCAACGCACGCCTGACCCACCTCCAAGTGGCCAACACTCTTCTCCCTCTCCTTCTTCCAACATTTTCTGATTTTGCTGCTTCATAATAAAACCTTTAAATAACAAATGGGCAGTACCTAGCCATTCCATTTTTGACACAGGTCTGTATAAGTTTGTAAGTATCCTGGATCTTAAATATGCCTTTTCTATTCAGGTGTGGCAAGTAGTGTAAGTATAGAAGCATGTAACAGTCACTTGGCTCAGATATTAACAGTCTAGTTCTTTTGCTCACTCAAGTGCTTCTGAAGTGCCTGTCCATTTCATATAATGAAGTAATGGCTTCTATTACCCTGACCCCTTCTAAAAGCAAATATACAGGCACTGATTTGGCTCTTAAAAAACAATTTTAAAGCTTGATGGTTTGTTTTCACGTAAGATTATTAGAGTGGTGGATGCAGACAATAGCTGTCACACTGTGCTGTATTTACTTGGCTGCAGTAGTAGTAAAGTCTGACCTTTATGGAGAGGGCACATACATTCCTGGATGCTTGCCAACATTTCTCCCTTTGTCTGAAAATGTCATCTGTGCAGCACTGTGAACACAGATCTTGTTACAAAGCTATATAGGACTTTACTAATGACGCTATTATTTAATATGGTTATTCTTGTTTGCTTTGTAATGTGCCAGTTCATGACTCACTTTCATCAAGGGCACAATGTCTGTGACTCTACAAAATTCCGGTTAAGAGTGCCGTACGGTCAGATATCATTGTCACCATTTTACCAACTATTAAACACATGATGATTCAGTAACTGAGCTCGACTTATACATTGCCGATGTGAGCTTATTGTATCGATGTGTATGTCGGCTGATAAACCACACAAAATGACAGTACAGAAGTGCCAAGATACAGTATGTTTGAGGTACTTCAGTGTTTTATTATTTTTACAGTGTTGACCAGAGCGCACTAGTTTATTTCTACACTGTAAAATGTTCCTTTATCGAAAATATGTTCATGTTCAGTTTGTGTAAAATGACAAAAGTAGGTTTTAAATCAGGGAATGTCAAACAAGACTAAGAGTCTAAAGCGCTGCTAACAGCTCTGTGGGGCTGTACTTAAGCATGCTAGCATACTTAATGACGCTCAGTAACAATGCAAATATGTTGACATTTAGCAGGTATAATGTTCTCCGTTGTCACCATCATAGCTAAGCGTGTTAGGCTAACAAACACAATGCACAGCTGAGGCTTCTGGGTCTGTCATGAATCTTGCAGGTATTTAGTCATAAACCAGTTGCTACTTGCTGGTAGTGCTGGCATTTCAGGAATCACCAAAGTCAGTTGGCTTTTTCCATATTTCAGTCTGGAGCGGTGGACTGAGCGACACTGCCATCACCAGAACCACAACGGTAGCCTTTCTAAAACCACAGACTGTATAAATAAAAACGGACGTAGTCTTTGTGACGCCACCTATAGGTTTCTGAAGAGCGGCTGTGAAACTTAGTGTAAGCTGTGTGTGTGGACGGCACCCACCTGTCACTCAAAGACCACGCCCTTAATTATGCATAACTTTAAGCCTTAATATAATTCAAACAGGTGAGTTTAAAAATTCAACCCCTGTACAATTGTCATGAACACGGAAATTAGGAGATTGACTCACTTCTCAGGCCAGCCTCAAGTGGCTGTTAAAGGAACTGCAGCTTTTGGCACTTCTATGTCGGCTTTGAGCAAGACAAAAGATTGTGTCTGATGTCCCATTTCAGCACAGTGCTACGTAAACAATTAAACCATTTGATAGTCCAGTCAGTCCGATAATGTGTAGCTTTGTGCTGATAAGACATTTTTCTCTCTCTTGCTCAAAGGCAACCCCTGCCAGCATGGCAACCATAGAATGGTAACCATACCATGCAACAACATAATGGTGAGTATGTGGAGTCAAACAGTTGGTTTGGTCAGCCAGTAACACTGCCAAGTGTTATTACAGCTTTCAATCACATGAGCTGCTATTTACCCAGTACATACCCACTACCAAAGTCTGCTTGTTAACTGGTTAAAAAAAAGACGTTGGTACCTGATTTCAAAGGCTTGAATTAGGACAATTTTATGACCACACGCACTTCACTGTGTCTAACTGTGGTACCTACAGTGTCTGTATACTTTGCTGGATAAAACAGTGACTCCATCTCGCACACGTCCGTGCAAAAATATCAAACAAAATTCATCTCCCATGGGGCCCCAGGTGTTATTGCAGTGAGAGGCTCCACTGTAGCAAATTATACAGAACATTCCTGATCCATGACTCTCCCTCTCTCTTGCGCACACACACACGCTCGCGCACACACACGCACGCACACACACACACACACACACACACACACACACACACACACACACACCATGTGGTTCCACACAGCACAGACCCTACATACCAAAAGAAATGCACTCAAAACATGCACCGTACTCTTCTACAATGCTACAGAGCTAATGCAACTCAGAGTTAAAGGCAACAAATGTGTGTGAGCTTGTGTGACTGCAACTTTTTGTATTTATACATGAGAGGCAGAGAAAGCAAGAGGGGTGTGTGTGTGTGTGTGTGTGTGCGTGTGCGTGTGCGTGTGCGTGTGCGTGCTTGGGTATCTGTGTCAGTGTCCAACTGGCTGGCAGTGCAGTATCACATTGCCATAATTTATTCAACAAGGCCAAGAAAGACAGAGAGGAGTGAGAGGGGATGAATAGAGGTGATGTCAGGTGATGGAGGAGCAGGGTGATATATGGAAGCTTAAAGACAGGGAGACACTTTCACTACACTTGCTCTACAATGTCCAGGACATCTGAGGCAAACCCTTGAAACAAGAGGAAATCCAGAGGAGAAATCTTCTCCATGAACATCAATGACTCCATCCACATGCACAAATATACTGCTGACGGTAAACAGACAAACTGCAGTAAAAACCCCAAATGAGACGTATATTCTGAATGCGCTGTAATCTGAATATTATCCACATAACCGACATGTCTTAATCGGAAAAATGCTACATTTGGAATAAGGGCAAATTAAGAATATTCAAACAGAATACACTGAGCTTTATCAAATGTGGAATATTGTCCTATTCAGAAAATTAGAGTGCATGTAAACGTGTCACCATGATGTCATGCATTTTATAATATTCTACTGTAAAACTAACCGTGCAAACGTAATGGGTTGGAAATTCCTATTTCTACTGCAATACAAGATGCAACTTGGGGTTCACTCAAGGACACTTCAACACATAGTCAGGAGGAGCGAGGGATTGAACCACCAACCCTCCCATCATTTGTCATTTCCCATTTTTTAGGAAATGCTAAATGATTTGCTGATTATCCACACCCTTGCTGATTAGTTTCAGCTGTAAAATTGATAGATTTTAATCAGTCAAACTAGGTCTTATATTTACAAGGTCTGACACTACCACCTTATTATTCGAAACTTGTCCAACATTATTTGTATATCCTTTTGTACCGATTAGTGCAATTCAAAGTGCTTTACTGAGGACTGACAAACTGATAATAAGACGGTACAAATGTTAACAGTAAATCAATGAGTCTAATGCACATGAGAAATAAAAGTGATGAAAATGTAATATTAAAACCAAAAAAATAAAATAAGGCAATAACAAAGGCAATAGATAAGAGGGAGCCCTCAAATCCTTAGGCAAGTTGTTGCAAACGCTCAGAGCATAAAAGCTAAAAGCTGCCTCAACAAAACTTTTGACTCATGCCACGGGACCAGGAGGGCTGTCCTGGTTTGTCGTGTCAGACGAGAAGGCTGGTACAACAATTTTAAAATCAATATGGAAACTGACACTTTAATATGTTCTCTCCTGGTTCTAGTCAGCACTCAGGCAGCTGAGTTCTGAATCAATTGTAACTGATTTATGACTTTCTTGGCCAGAGCAGATAGCAGAGCGCTGCAACAGTCTGTCTTGCTGGATAGAAAGCATGCATTAGTCTCTCAGAGAGAGAAATGGCCACACTTTAGCTATAGTTTGGAATCAAAAGCCATACACAATCCTGTTTTGTCTTTAGCCACTATCACCTCTTTGCCTGCTTCATCATAATCATCATTTAAGGTTAGTGAGGCATTTTCAGCATGCCTTAGTTGTTGAGAAAGCAGAGCTAAAAAAAGGTGCATTTCTGCAGGGCACGACAGCTTCAAAGCTTCTCTCACTCGAAAAAGCTGAGAGAGGTTTGCATAATGTGTACAATTAGGTGACTGGATGGAGGACGCAGCTTGTTTTCTTCTTCATTACAGAAGCTGCAGAGGTGAAGGAGATGATGAAATTCCAGGACGGAGATGGAAAGAGGTATGAAGGCAAAGCAGTGCATAAAAACAGATGAGGACATAGAGGACGGTTAC